CCGAATGCCCAGGCTGGGCCCGGAGCCTCTGATCATTTGCTGTCCATGATGGTCAATCCTCAGGTAACTCATAGTGGTGGCTCAGGCCTGCTTGGAAGGACTTCATGGTTTTGCCTGTGCAATTCTGTTTCATTTTCCCCACTTTTCCTCCTCTATTTTAGCAAGAGGAGCCTTCCAAGGCTTTTATCAAAGGCTGTATTATTATTATTATTAAAAAAATAAGACATTTTCCTTCCCCTTCTAGGACTGTGTCGCTAGCTGCAGGGCAGGAGCCCTCTGAGCATTGCTGGTCCTCGGATAGGGCTCAGTGCTGACCCTGGTGTGAGGATTTGGCAGGAAGGGAGGGCACTACCCTGTGCTGTAGATTCTCCCCACGCCCCTGGGGAAACCCATCCTGATTTTCTGCTTCTTCGATGACTAAAAGAGTAACAAAGAGGGGTTTCTTCCCTTCTCCTCCTTTCCCCTTTTGGAAAAGGGACAGATTGCAGCCCCCAGCCCCGGAGCACCGTCTCCCCCGGCGAGGGCCGGTCCCCCTGTCAGCCCGCGTTCGTGTCCCTGCCTGCGCAGCCCCACAGCCTGCGCTGACATTTTATTTATCCCCTCTTGGTTTGCACGTGTCCTGCCCTTGCGCGTCGCTTCCAGCGCTGCACAAGGGGAGCTGATCCCGCCCGAGGCTTTGGCGCAGAGCGCGCGGCGGCGCTGCGGGAGCTCAGCACCCGGGGACGTGTCCCGGGAGGCCGAGCTCGGACACAGCTCCGTGCTCTTCCACACAGCTTCAAGTAGGCTTTTTAAAGCATATTTAAATGGATTTTCAAGTGCTGTCAAAGCTGAAACAAACCTGGAGTGTGTTTTGACGAGGGGAAATGCAGTAGGACAAATGTGAAATTGTTGCAGATTCAGACATGACTCCTCAGCGATGTTGTCTGCGCCTTGGGAATCTCGATGCAGGTTCTCGGGAGAGCTTTGCTCTGTGAGCATGCAAAGGGCTACTTTTCTAGTGGATTCAGTCTCTGTCAGTGCAATGCTAAAGGATCTTTGCTTTAAAGCTTGCAACTGCAAAGGAATAAATCTGTGTGTGCAACACCCCCTGTGAGCAGTTTACCAAGACAGAGGAAATGGGAAACAAACCTGATTTGTATCAGCGGAGGGAAGTCCCCAGCACGATCTCTAGAGCGGGGCCAGCTGAGGTTAACAGAGGGGTTCTGCAAGTGCAGGAAGTGAAGGGACCTTTGTGTCACTCTGCTTAAAGGTGGGGGGAGAAAACTCAAGAATTGACATGTCAAAATACCTAAAAAGTGAAGTTTAGATTTGTCACCTTAGCAGGCACCAAAGTACTTGCCCAGGACTTACTTTATGGTTCCCTGAAGCTCCACAACCAGACTGGGGCTGTCAGAGGTGACCTGGCCTTGGCAGGGCACAGCAGCCCGTGTCCTGCCCACCGTCATCCCAGTCCTTCCTGGGGGTGTTTGGGTGTCTCGGTGCAGTCGGTGACCGCTGCAGCGTCACCCAAAACAGCTGTGAGTTGGCTGCTCTCCTCCCTCTGCCCTTCCCTCCCTCCCTCCAAAACTAGGACAGCTAAATTTAACCTGCTATCAACAGATGAGGCTGGAGAGTTTCCACTGTGGAAATGGATCCGCCGACGAGCCTGTCTGCTCTGCTGGTGGGGCTCCATTGGCACAAGTTCCTGGCGTGTGGTGCAAACCTGCACGGTGCCCAAGCTGGGCTCCCTGGTAAGGGGCCTGCCCATGAGCTGGACAAGGCTAAAAGAGAGAAGTGTTTGCAGGGAGAAACCATGAAATAAATGCAAGGTGGTGTTTGAAAACTGCTCAGGTGTCGCCACGCTGCTGCTTATGGGGGTCTGCAAGGCCAGGGCTCTTCCCTGGGCTCCCAGGGGACACGCTCCCCTCTCCAGCCGCAGGGTTGCAGTGAGCACTTGGCCGGTCTTTTGCTAAATAAGCAAAGGGCGTCAGGAAACCAAAGCGTGCGGAAGTTCAGCCGCTCTGTGCCCTGCCGGCGGCTCCAAGCCAGATCAGCTTTGTCATCCTATCACAAGATGCACGGCAGCCTGGTAATGAAAAATGCAGGATGCTGACGGGTATTTTTAACCAGGAACCTCACCACTTTCTCTGATGCAGCGCGAGAGCTGAAACAGAAGATGCACGTGTTGTCAAGGTGTTTAGCACAGTCTCAAAACACACGTGCAAACACAGCAAAGCTTTGTTTTGAAATAACCAGCACCCAAGGAACTCCAGGCAGATCTGTTTGAAAATTCCACTTTATTTTCTGTCTGTTATAAAAGCAGGGTTCTGTTTTTACATCTGTGTTAAGTGTCCCGACTTGGTACATCTGGGTTTTATTTTCACAGTATCTCTGCAAGACCAAGGACGATTCTTATTGCTGCGCCATGGACCAGGGCTGAATGCTCAAGAGAAACCACTGTTTCCAGGTTCAAGTAACCACCGTCTAGCCCCCAAATGCCCCTGGGCTCTATGTTGCTCTGGGTGGTCTAGTTTTGGGGAGAGAGGTCATGAGTGGAGGTCTCAGCCGTGGCTCGTCATGGGCCCCACTCACCCCCATCCTGCACCCCTGGACAGGGCAACTCGGGCCAATGCATCAACCTGCAGGGTGATTTGAGGCTGCAAGGAGCTGGGTATCACTGATGGGTGAGGTTTGCTGCCAGATCCATGGGGCAGGGGCAGAAATAACCTCACATAGGTGCTCAATCACCTCCCCAACGTGCCCCGGTCTGTCACTTGGCTACCAAGAGCCAGCAGGGAAGGAGCTTTATCTGCCTCTGCTGATGGCAGCCACTGGGTGCAGGGTGCCCTGAACAGCCGAGTCCCATCAGGGCCTCTAAATCTCCACTCTAGCTGTATCTTATTAACCAGCCATCTCAACAGTGGTGTCTCTAGCACTTGTCACTTCCAGCCACCATTCCTTTTATGTTCAGTCAATCTGTCCTCGTCCGTTTTGTAACGAAGCAGCATTGGAAAAAAAACATCACTTTTATTCACAAAGCGTGAAATCTTGAATGAGGCAGCATTGCCTTTCTATGCTGTGTCTGGTAAAGGAGGCGGAGGGTATGTTTTGAATGAGGCACGGGATAAAGGCATCCTTTGGGAAGGGAAGAAGTCCATGCAAAGCTGATCCCAACATGAAATGTGAATTTCATATTTACTGCTCAGCTGGATCTAATCAGTGCAACAGGACAAATTAGCTAGGAGGTTAGTATCAAATTGCATGGATGCATCCAGTCCATCAGGCTGAGGGAAGAGGGAGGAATCATTTACTTAGTGCGCCGGGAGACTAAGTCCAACACAAAGAGAAGTGGAAAAGGACATAGGTGTTCCCTGAATGTGATTTTTGGTGACTGAGAAGAAATCTTTCCTTGGAATTCCTTCATGCAGCTAATTAAGACAACTGGGTCTGATTTCTTCGACCCAGGTTGACATCAGTGAGAACTGTAAGTACTCAGCACCGAAAACAAAGTGAATACCAGACACGAGTACCCCTTCTACTCCCACCCGTGGGACTCCCCGGAACATCTAAGCAGTAGCCAAGATGTGTGTGAGTGTTATCAGTTATTCACCTGCAGCTCCAACTTTGTCCTGTTTTGCATGTATTGCCTAGGAGAAAGTACAGGCAAGTCCCAAGGGGCTGTGCCAGTCGAGCTGTGATTAGGATCTGAATCCATGTGAGGAAACGGAGTGTAACAGAGAGTGACCGTGCAGGTCGAAGTCTCCCTAACTTCATCTGTCAGAGTCCCAAAGCCGAGATTTAGGCTACCTTTGGCTTGTGGATTTGGGTGGAATGCAGTCCGTTTGTTTGCAAGCTGCTTGTAACGCTGGGCTTCCTATCTCGGAGCTCTGCCCGTGGAAGAGGGAGCAGGGCTTTCCCTGCCTCCGCGGCTGAGCATCCCTGGAGAATGACCTGGAGGTGGGCGGTCTCTCTAGAATATGGGGGAATACAGTTGCCAGGACCCAGTATCCCTGTTTGCTGGTTGGAGACTCTCGTGGGGGACATATCTTCTGAGTACAGTGTCCTCAGGCAGGGGGTGATGTTGAACCTCTTGCCAAAGTGTGCAGCTTTGGAGAACAGAGAAGGGAGAAATCCTTGCTGGTAAGATCCTATGTAGAAGAAGGTGGTAGCAATTGCAGCTACTTAAGTGTCCCTCCGAGGAGAGCCTTGAAGCAGAGTGTGACTGTGAGACCTGCTTAGACCAGGCCTGCAGGGCCAGGCCTGGCTGCAAGGTACCGAGCGTTCTCCAGCCCAAACCCTTGAGGCCAGTTGTGAGTAAGAGGAAGGATTGTTATCTTAGGGGAAAGAGCTGCAGAGGAAAGGGGAAGTGAATTGCCTGGAGCAAGTGAGCAGATCTCCTGTGCCCTGTCCTCCAGATGCCCCTTCCACCCTGCAACTTCCCCTGCCTGCAAACCGTGCCCCTCTTCCGAACCGCCTTCCTCCGGAGAAACCCATCTGGTTATCTCTGAAGCCATCTGGACAACACCCTTGCAACCTACAGGTTCCAGCTCCTTCTCCAACTGTACCTTATTTACTGGAGGATCTTCACTCAACCTGCAGGTGTTTCCCTTCGTGCACCTTCTCGTGCACAGTCCTTAGCTAAGTAGATATTTGTCCCTAGCCAGAGAGGTACGGTATCACCTATGGTCCTGTCCGTGCCCCATTCTGAAAGTCAAGTAGATGATGAGGTCATTTGGAGAAAAATTCCCTATGAACCCCAACATGATCTGTTATCATAGGAAGAAGAGTGTTTTTTTTTTTTCATAGCTTTTTTGATAGTGTTTGCTAGAATAGGTGCCTGTTATTTTCAGACATAGCCGTTCCTGAATTATGGATATAGTTGGGTAGACTCAGTAGATAAGATCTGCCCTCGCTTACACCCATGCATCTCCAATGACTCCAGAAGGATCTTTTTTATATCCTGCTCTTCTTACAGCACCGTCATTGAGATGTCATGGGAATGAGGGGCAAAAGCAGCCCGTGTGCGAGCGATTAGGTGTTAAAACCATGAGAAAGAGAGACCGGGGGCTAGCTGGGCAGCCTAAGGTCTTCATTTCCTAAAGACAAACATAATGGAACATCTTCCCTCTTGATTTATGTTGTCTCATAGGGCCGCAATTCTAGCTGCTGCCTTTGCCTGTGAGATCATCCCATATTATAACGTTAATGGGAGACAGGTCAGCAAGCGCAAGCAGCACGAGCTCACTTACTATCCCTTCTGTGATGCAGGGAGGTGGCCTAGTAGCTCCCACTCGAAAGACATTCTGCGACAGGTTTGTTATTTGCATTGCTTTGAAACTGAGATTATTTCCATGCTTCCTTGTTCCATGTTTTAAAACCAGGAAGACGTTATTTTTGTCATGCTTCTTCCAATTCCATGCCCTTTTCACCAGCCTGTGACACACTGGCAATCTACTCCTTGTTCCAAGACTTTCTCCCCTGAATTCTGTAGAAAGGACATTCTGCCTGGTGGTATTTTTGTTTCAAACGTAGCTTTAAGGCAAAAGTTTGGCAATGCAAAGCAAAGTCTACATAAGGCCGCATGACTTGGATTTGCAACTCAGAACCTTTACAGCTGAAAAAAAATCCTTATCCTTGACTTAAGTAGTCAACTTTTTGCTCCAGGAACTGTTGTTCTCAACTAAAAAGAAAGAAAGACTCCTAAAATCCCAAATAAAATGTTCTCATTGTTCTGGGCAGTCTGGGCAAGCTAATGAGCCTGAAGTTCAAACAGTAACTAAAGTAGGGAAGAAAAGAAGCTATACGGATAGACATTAATGTTAGTTTTCTTCCCTTAGGAATCCAGTGATGAGACAGACCCCAGTCAAAGGTCTTCTCGTTAGCTTTAGCACAGTGAAATCCGTCCCAATGGGAGAAGGTAGAATGGTTGCATTTCTGTTGAATGGATAAAAAGTGCATTTTGATTTCGCTCAGATTATACGTGTGTATTCTAATACCTAAATGTTTTGTTTTCTCCCTTCTGGTACCGGGACGCCAGGTTGCTATTGTCGGTGTTTTGGAGGTATCACCACGAGTGGTGGTCCATCCTTTGGCCTCCACATGAGTACCTGAGCATCATTGGCATTGGGTTTGACAAGGGCACTGGGTGGTATTGGCTCATTCTTGCTAAGGACCTGGGGCTGCTCTTGAGCAGAGGGCTCCTGCAGCTTGGCACGCTGCCCCAGGGGTCTGCTGGGATTGACCTCTATGCCCAGCCTCATGCGCCACTTGATAGTCTGCAAGGTCACCATCTCGTTGGTAGCCGTGTTGGTTGCAACCAACCACGTGGTGAAGCTCTGATCCCGGTGGATGCTCGTGAGTTTGGCCACGTTGCTCTCGCTCACGGGCACAGCCCACGTGACGCTCGGGTAGAAGTTGTCGTTCATGCTGATGTTGAACTTGGATTCTTTCTTTGTGGGGCCCACGATGGTGCAGGTTTCTGTGGTGTTTCCATACCAGGGATAGTTCACTCCATCTGAGTCACTTATGGCCTGGATTTTACCATCTAGTAGATCCGGGAGCTCCCAACTTGACCTGGCACAATCAGCAACAAATTATGGATAATGCATTAATGGATGAGCATAGCATCATGCATGACTTTAAGCAAGAAGATGAAACAGTTGTGAATGTGTTTCCCCTTTATCTTTTTTTGAAATTAGTGGCCCTTGTGTCCTCCTGCAGTGAGAGCCTTTCCCTGACATTAAAACTCTGTCTGCAGATTTATAGAGCTGATGATGAAAGTGCATCCTGCTGTTAAACAGCATTGAAGACTGATCACCCTGAAGGAACAGGGCTTTCCTCGCAGCTACCTGGAGTCATTCAAAAAGTACTGGTGTTTAAATAAGTTTGCAGAGGGTACTCAGAAAAGTTCAAGCACTGAAACCCTCCCTGTCACTAGAAAATCCAGTGTTGCAGATATTCTTTTGCAGATCCTGACTTGGCTCTTTTAGCACTGATGAACCCAGGGATTTGATTCAAGGTCTGCGCTCGGTGTCTCCTGACTCTAGCGCTCATGAGAATAGGGCTCAGGCCAGAATTTCTTTCCTGCAAAAAATTCTTGTGCAGGCCCCTGATATTGTCAGGAAAGGAGTGGAAGTCAGGTTGCTCTCAAGGGCTCAGCTTGCTCATAAAGGTTCCCTGCTGATCGCCATCTCCTGCCCTGAATGTTCCAATTTCCCCATTCTGTTTTCATCTGCCTTTCAGTCCATAGTTGCAAACATTTATTTGCTTTCTGGAGAAGCCCTTGTCCCTTTTAGCTCTCTGCGGCACTGGAAGTGTAACCCATCCATCCCTGTACCAGGAAGGAACCTGGTTCAAAGGCTCCAGGGTTTGGATGATATTACAGTAATTAGAGAAACAGAGGTCAGCTACCCTCTAAAACTGCCTGAGCCAGTAGTTTGTGGTACCGCATGCTATGTTTGCAAGCATGACAAGAAGGTCAGTCTTTCTAGCAAGAAATTAAGTGAAAATGGTCCTCCATGATCTTAAAATACTGATAAAAACTCTGGAATTTTTAAAAACCAAATTTCCATTTAATTTTCAGGATGGTCAAGGTCGCTAACTGCTGCAACTACTATTGCTTAGCTACTACCTCAGATAGAAAAATGGCTAGACTTTTCCGTAGAAAAAGCACCGAACAAGCCTAATGGTAAACCATACCATGTGCTCAAAATGTGCCAGGTATGTCCAGGGTCTTCTTTAAAACTATCCACTGCGTCTCTGCTGTAGATCTGGGGAAAGGAGACTCATTTGCAGCAGTTTCCTGTGTCGGGCTCTACACGGAGCTGGCCAAGCTGGGCAGTTTGCAGCTCCCTGCTGCAGACGGTGCCACAAGAAGTGGTTATCTTGCAGATAGAGGGTGGACACGCTGAGGCTCATCAAACTAACTGTCAAAGTCTTTAATAAGAGTCTAAAATAGCCCTTTGGTTGGAGTGGGGCGATGGTTCTGAGCACAGGCTGGCCCACAGGATGGTTTGACACAGTGTGGTTGGGGACAAGGTGCTTCACCCACTGGGACCAATATCACTGTCTCATGAGGCTGTTCTGGCTCTGACTATAAGATACCTTGTAGGACTTGATTTTTATTACCTGTTTTCTTGAGTATGGGTCCTAGCAAAACCTCCCTACACCCTACGTGTGCTCAACCCCATGGCCTGGGATGTTAGCAGAAGCCGGGGGATTACGTAACCTCTCCGTTTCCCTACGTGGATTTACAGGCTGCTGCTAGTTACGATACGGAGACTGCAGTAATTCAGTAATTTTCTCCATCGAAGCTGATGGTCTACAGGCAGAGGGAGTCCTTTTCCTGGAAGAAAATGCTTGGAGACAGCCCAGAGGGAATCCCGGCGCAGCCCCTTGCCCACTGCAGAGATGCCTAAAGCTGCTCAGCCGCAGCCACAGTTGTTTGGGCTCCTCGGAGAGCGCTGAGGAGAGGAAAGCTCCAGTGAACTCGGCCCTTGGAGGGAAGAGGAACCCGAGGTCACATCCTCCAGCCGCCCGTGTAGCCCCTGCCCCACACTCCGCTCCAAAACACCATCTGGAGACTCTTTCTCTGCCTTGCAGCAGATGGGTTAGGATTACTCTCCATTCAGACAGCGCCTGGTGCTCAGTTCAACCGCGGATGGGGAGGAGATGTGACAACTTCCCCTATACGTGACAGATGTGGTAACGAGGCACAGAGACTCTGTGGGTGCCAAGGTGCCAAACCAGGACCTGAGGTGCTACGAGAGGCTGAATCTCTACCCTGGGCTGCACCAGGAGGGCAGAGGACACGCAGAGATCCCAACTGAAGCTGCAAAGTGGCCAAGGACTTGGTGGCTCCTTCTTCATTCCCTACAGCCTTCGCCTGTGTCCCCAGCCTGGGATAGTCATCGCCTGCCCTAGAAGGGCAGCATCTTCTCAGGGTTTGCACAAGGTTTAAATGAAAGCTGAAAGGTGTTTGGAGGGAGCCGGGCTGACACGGCAGCGAAGCGCGTGCCAGGAGCCCGCGCAGCTGCAGCCAGGCGCACCGAGAGCGCGTCCTGCGCAAGGAAGGCGTAGGCAGGAACAGGGAAGATGAAACTGTTTCGCTGCAGAGCACACTGTGCCTAATTGTAGCGCATGTGGTTAGCTCTGAGGTTTCACAACCGTTGTGCCGATCTGCACAGCTCAGCGCCGAGAAAAGCGGGGCCTCATGATCATCCCATGACTGGAGCCAAGTGCTGCCCGTGGAAGGTTCTTCGTCTGCACCCGCGTCCTTCAGTGAGGATGCCGATCCAGAGAGGTACCCAGTGAAATCTCTGCTGACCATAGCAGGGAACAGGCTTGTGAAGAAACCAATCTCTCTGATTTTATGGGTTTGTTATAGCTCAAAGGTTCCAAAATCATTAGGCTCTGGCTTGCAATACTGGCAAATTTGTTTCTGCCCCCTCTGACTCTTCAGAGTCAACATGGGCATCCCCTGGGCATCACCCGAGACAGGAGACAGAACGAACTCTTTGATGCCCTCTTGCTACCAGGTGAAAGAACTTTCAGCTCTACCTTGGGGCACAACAGGGGTTTTTATATGGGCCCCAGGCTCCTGATTCCCATTCTGCTGTGTTCCTTCCTATTCTGTAACAAGAAACCAAGTCTCCAGCCTCTCCCATGCCCTCCAGCCAGCTGCTCCATAGCGTGAGTTGAAAGCAATCACCGCAGTGGCGAGCAGTGACACTAAATCCAAGCAAAGCAGCCTTCAGCCGTGAGCACCCGGCAGTGTGACATGGGTGCGTTGAATTAACCTTTTCAGACAGGCATCAGACATTATCACATCCTCCGATCCTGTTCCTTAAAGCCATGTCCTAATTAGTCACAGGACGCTCAGCCTTGCGTAACCTCCTGCCTCCCAACACCCTTCCCTTCCAGCAGCTCCTCGAACAGGAGCAGCCCCGATCGGATCCAGGCTGTGTTCGGAGCAGGTCCCGATGCGACGTGTGGGCGCAAGGGGAGGCTGTCGCGGGTGTTCTGCGTCACTGGGTTTGCCTGTCTCCCGCGGCTGATGTGCCTGTGCTGGCGGCTGGCTGGAAGAGACGAATCTGACATTCAGAACTGCTTAATTTTTAACTTGTCCTTTACAGCATCGCTCTCGCCTCCATCAGCAGGACAAGCAAGTGAATCCAGGGTCATAGTGGGGAACAGGGAAGGAATTTCAGCTGCACATCCACAGCTGCTTAGGCCAGTCTGAACCATGCTGCTGTCATCCCAGTCTCTTCTACCCTGTCCTCCAGCTACATAGTCCTGCTTCATCCCTTGAGCTGGTGCTAGCGCACATCTGATGAACAGCAAGGTGGCTCAGGGAGCAGAACTACCAAAAAAAAACCCACCATTAAGAGAAAGGAAGAGGTTTCTGCTGGTTTAGCTGAGCAGACTCACGTCAGGACTATGCACGCTGCAGCAGAGAGGTGTTATCTAACCTGGCCAAGGGGCACGCACGGCGTGCAGATAAAGGCTGCAGGCCATGTAAGAGCAGTAAAGGCTTTTCTTCCAAACCCTAGGAATGAGGTCTCTCTCTCTTTTTTTTTCTTATAAACTGATGTTATTTGGTTCCCATGGAAAGCATAAACTTTTTTTTTTTTCTTTTGTTAATCACTTTTTGATTCTGATGTGTGAGGGGGGTTATTTTCTTGACAACTGAGTTTCTTCAATGCTTTTCCGTTCTAGGACACAGAAGATGTTTTCTCTCAAAAGAGAGAAACCCCTTATATGCAAAAAGATGCTGTAATGCTGCCTCGTGCTCATTTGAGCCTTCAGGGGAGAAAAACCTACCTGCAACTCATCAAGATTCGTGGCTGCCTGAATTCGAAGTCTGACTTGTTTATCTCTCGCGTTTGCATGTCACCATCTGCGCTGCTTCTTGCACATCTCCATGGAGATGAAGAAACAAGGCGGGATAATTCCGCTCCAGTTTTGCATCCTGCGAGATACTGTGCAACAGCAGCTCAGAAAGCCGGTCCCTGCCCCGAGCGCTCGCGCGGCCCCGCTCGGCTCCCTCCTCCGGCACGTGGGGTGAAACTCTGCTCGCAGGGAGCAGCGCTGGCCCAAATGGGGACAAATGGGGGTTTTCCTCCACACTGCTGCAAGAGGGCTCAGAGAACAGTTTCATTTCCTCATGTAGGGCTGAGGGTTTTCCGTTCATTTCCTCATTTATTGGCTTGCAAGAAAAACAATCCAAGCAGTTATGTGCTGAGTTTTTTTTTCCTTTTCTTTTTTTTAATGCTGCATTTAGCCAATAAAGTGTCAGTGCCACTTTAAGTGTGCATTGAAATGATCCCCTCCATAGCTAACATCCATGTATGAGCGCTGTGTGCAGCTCCATCTGCTCCAGTATTTCTCAGCTGCTTCTCTCCTGGGTGTAATGGCCAGCTTAGCCACAGCTCACAACTTCAGAGCACGAAAGTGAAAAATTAATCTAAAGCCTGCTATAAGTATTGATGCTCTGGGTGACTGGTGATTTTTTTTTCTCTTTTTTTCTCTTTTTTTTTTTTAACTTGGGAGTCTTCTGTTTGCCACAGCCACTTTAATCACCACAGTGATTTTAAAAAAAGTATGTTCCCATAGCCTGGCTTCATCATGGAAAGTTGGGACAAATAATCTGTTGGCATAAATCAATGCAGCTCCATGGAGGGCAGTGGAATTATGTTGACTTACAGGAGCTAAAGACTTGGCCCATTCTTTCAGATAGGCTTGTGTCCTATCTCTCTATAAAAAGCTCTTCCAATGTTTCAATGACATTAAAAGAGGGCTTTCTTCCCAAACACCTTTATTTATAGCTTTCAGATGGTGACAGGTCAAAAGAAGCAGCATGGAGAAGCAGACCAAATCTGAAATGTGTTTGGGTAACTCTCTTCTTTTTTTCTTAATCATCTAAATATGAATGAATCTCATAGGGAAAAATAATTCTTTTCCTGTGAGCGTCTGGATAATTTCTGGATTTTTTTTCTACATTCCTTAGGTGTTTAATTCTGACTACCTGTTAACAATACTTTGCTTTTATATAAAACTTTTTGTCTTATGCTCTCAAAGCATTTCAGGGAAGGCTCTACCAAATCCTCTTTTCAAAGATAGGGAAAAAGTGCACACAAGTAAGACAACATGTTGAGGTTTGCAGTGCTGCTTTGCAATAGCTCTCTGCTCTGTCTTCTTTACTTCCCTGTATTTATATAAAGTGGACTTTTCTGCTTTCCTTTGCAGCTGGTCACTAAAGACCGGATTTCTAAATGATCCTGAGAATTACACATCCAAATCCTGAAGCCCTGGAATTGGAAACATCTGAGCCACAAATTGTCCTCGCTAAAGATGATTTTGAAGCCAAAAAGCCTGCAGACTTTGAGCTTGATGTAAGTACTGTTAAAATCAAGATAAACTTGTCTGCTCCCACACTGAGCTGTGCCTGGTTGGTATTTGCCAGGTGCTAGAGTTGGGTTCTCCAGGCATTTTCTGCTCAAGCAAAGAGTTGAGAGGGGAAACGGGGACAGGAGACGGGAACAGTCTGTCACTTATGGCTGCTCCTTGGTGTTCCCTTCCCTGCAGCTTCCAGCACAGGTTCATTCCGTGTCTGGGATGTGGAACTGGTGCCACTATAGGCAGAAGGCAGAGAGGAAGGGCTGGGAAAGGAGAGGTGCCTGTCCAGGCCCTTCAGGAATGCTCTGCATCAATCCGAACGCTTCCTATCCCTGCTCTGTCTCCCTGTCTTCTCCACCTTCAGGTTAAACGTGACCTTCTCATCCCTTTCCCCACTCATCAACCCATCTGCCAGCCCTCTGCCCAGCCCGGGCGCTAAGGTCAGGTTTGTCCCCATGGCAGGACAGACAGACAGACTTCTGCAGTGCCACGGGAGCTGCAGAGCTGCTGCTCGGTGCAGGTGTTCAGAGATCAGCCCTTGCTGCTGCTTTGACTGTGGGCCAAAGCCTGCAACAGCGATTGCACAGACTGGCGGGGGAACCGGTGCAGGGTGAGAGATGACTTTTAAGAGTAGGGAGGTGGCGTTTTAATTTGACTCATTCTTGTTTCGTTGTGACTGTCTGACCAGTAACACTGGGTTTTTGGCGAGGTTGCAGCTCCCAGATTCCTCCTGCCTTTTATACATATATGTATATATGCATATATACACACATATATATACACTAACCATATATAGATATATTTTCCCAGTCTTACATTATCCAAAATGAAAGTAATGCAAATTTTTTACCTTACTCCGGGGTGATACAAAGGGTTTTGATTACCAGCAGCTGCCTGCTCCTGTGGGCAGAGCAAGTGGGACTCATCCCGGGATGCTCTGCCGGGAGCTGCAGGGCTGTGCAGCTCTTGGCTGGTGGACACTGCAGCAGCAGCACAGCGCGCTGGGGACAGCAAAATGCCACAAGTGCCACCCGGGGGTTCTCAGGGGCTTGGAAAGGGGTGATTTTTATCCCCTAAGGGCTGCAGAAGAGCTTTGCTCGTGTGCAGGGGACCTCCTCTTATAAAATGCTTATAAGAAGAGGAGGAGCGCCCTTCATGCAGGGCTGGCTGGGGATTGCAGGAGCTACAAAGCTGCTGGAAAGCTTTTAGAAAATGTAGTGTTACTTTTGGGTTGCTAACAGAGTGCGTTTTGGTTTGAGGACGTGACTATTAGAGGATAAGGACACCCTCTGCTTTCAAAAGTGCAAGAACAAACCTGCCCTTTTTTTTTTTTTTTTTTAACATACAAAAACGTCCTGTCAAGGTTCAGAAGAGCCGCTCTTCAAAAACATATCAAAGGGGTTATCAGTTTTGGCTCAATCCACTCTCTCCCCAGCCAGGCCATGGTTCTCCTGCTCCCTTCCTAGCAGGCAATAGCACGCGCGCACTCACGCGCTCCCGGGCAATACTTACATTCCCTGCTCCCCGTAGTGATTGTAAAATTCCATATGGCTGCACGCCTGAATCCAGCCCACGATCCAGGTCTCCTTCTTGGGAAGAGGGGGCACCAACACTTGCGCCGATGCTCGGAAGTGAGGGGTCCGGTAGCGCAGAACCACGCTGGACGACTCGTCTATGCTGGTGGGAATGGGGTCGATGGAAGCTTTAATTTCAGTCACTGAAATACTTTCCCGGAAAACTTTGGATTTGCAGCTAATGCTCTGAATACAGCCCATGGCATACCCCGAGTACAGTCCGACGCAGCTCCTCGGGTACTCCAGCAATCCTGGGGAATACTAGGCATTGAAATTATCTGGTGCTAGATCAAGTATAGATCTTCTTGGTTTGTAATCTCAAGACTGATATCCATAGGATAGAAAATTCGTCATGTAAAGCCTTAATTTGAATGTCTGTCTTACAAGTACGGCTCCTGTGTTGAGGATAGCTGCATTTCACAAACACAAGGGCCTTTTACATTTTTTCCCCTTTCAATGACCCATTAAATCTTTTCCTCAAACAGTCTTTGGGTTTTTTTTTTTTAAAAAAAAAGGTCTACTGCATTTAATAAATAACGGTGTTGTTCTTAGCTGATATATTTAGTCCTTCCTTTCCTCAGATGCAGTCTGTCATTCACCATCAAACATAGGACAAGCCGGTATTTCCCTTTATTCTTTGGATGAAAAGCAGAATGTTGATCGACACATCTATATAAATAATGAAATAGTTCTCAGCCCCAGCTTGTCACAACCGGTGTGGACTTCCACTTCCTGACTTGCAGTTGTTCATAACTTCCTTTCGCACAAAATTACAATAATACCAGAAAGAAACGGTGGGGTGGAAAAAAGGCAAAAAAAAAAAAAAGTCGGCAAAATCTCTCCGGCTTGGGAGGTTTCTCCAACAGCGCTGTGAGGGCTTTGGCATGTAAATATATATATTATTTCTTCCCGCGTCTCTTTTTCCCTTAGCAGGCGGGGGAGCCCTCCGTGCTCGGCCGGGGGTCTCCGCGCGCGGGGCCGCTCAGCTCCGCACAATCGCCGCCTGTGACATCCCGCGCCGCTCCGCGCTCTCCTCTTCCTCCTCCTCCTCCTCCTCGTCGTCGTCGCCGCCGCCGCGCGGCTCGCGCCGCACCGCCGGC